AGTCTCATTCAAGATTCTTCAAACACTGCTGGAGACAGCTGGCAACTCAAGGCCGTTTGTTTACTATAGTACGTAGTAAAAATTATGAATAAATGTAAAAGTGATCGGTGATTGATTACTTAGTTTCCCCGTTGCTTAATTTAATGGTTGGGCTTTGTTGTTTCGTATTATATTATACTATGTACTATAGTTGCCAGCTGTCTCCAGCAGTGTTCGAAGAATCTTGAACGAAACTGTACATTGACAGCATTTTCTCCCTCTTTTCAATCTCTGGGTTTCTCACCTTTGTTGTTACCTTGGGCAAAAGAGGTGTTGAGTGCTGAACAGTACCTCATATATTGTCTGCATTCTTCTTAATATTTTGAATCGTGGACTCACCCAAGTTGTAGTAATTGCCAAACACAGATGCTCCCTCACCCTTTTCACAACGATTCAATATTTCTAACTTAAATTTCAGTGTTATGGCTGTTCTCTTCCTCTTCATGGGTGGACAGGGACTAGGAGATAATGCAGGATGCTTGGAAGCCATATTATTTGAAAAATGTGAATATGGCTGCAAATCACCAGATCACAAAAGACTCCACAGAAGTGATAGAGTGGCAGTCCACACGGACTGATGTGAGACTGGGCGCATGTGGCAGGAAGCGACACACACACACACACACACCACCCAAGAGTAGCCGATAAAACATGAGACTTGGTGATGACATGGGGTCCTCGCATATGAGTGAATTTGCATGTGTTGAACTCACATATATTGAGGACATACTGGAGTAGAAGAAAATTTACTGGTAGGGGGAGTGGGACTGGAAGTTGAAGATGCAGGAAGTGGTTTGAAGGTGGTGACGGGTCAGCGTGCTTGTAAATCGTGGTCACAGTTGAAGCAGCCAGACCAAGATTTTTCCCAATCTTGGTAGGACCATCACCACATTCATGACGCTTAATTACCTCCAGCTTTGTCTCGAGAGCCGCAGCCTTTTGTGGTTTCTTGGTGTAGTACGGGGAGCCAAAGATTTAGCAGAATGCTTAGATGCCATAACGAAAAGATGGCATGGATAAAGAGAAATCACTTCCTGTACACAACAAATGGTGGAAGGAAAGATATGGGCTTCTGGGAATGTGGGAGGGAGGGGGGATGATCAGTGAGCGAAAATGCGTCTTCACATCTCTTCCCAAGATAGCTGTGCAAGCTGACTCCCAGCGCGTATTATTTGAATTTTTGCCCGGACCCAAATTTGTATAAGCGGAGGAAGCTTTTGTATCTCAAAATAGTGGTGTAAATTTAGGAAATTTATGTAAGCTAACTTTTGTATCTCGAATGTTCGTATTTCGAGGGATACCTGTACAGTATACTACATTCTCTCTCTACCAAGATATCTTAGGGTAACGAGTACAGTACAGTACAGGATACTGTATTAGTTCTCTTTTTTAACACTTATCTGACATAGGAGGAATGAAAAAGTTAAAACTAGACAATATTTTATCAGTAAAATTAACTGTTTACCTTACACATTTGACATTTCTTTCTTGGCTCTGGGAACATTTACAAATACCAATATTTTACTCTACAATAAAACACAGTCTAAAAATGTTAGTAAAAATGTAAATTCTATTTAAAGCATCTATATGTACAAACTTTCATATCATTTTGTGGAAAAATATCCATCTAACCCTTAATATAATATAGTACTGTACTCTGTGGCTCACAGAAAGCAGAACAGATCCAAATAACTAATGCCTACAATTAAACTGTTCTAGTATTTCTGCATTAAACTAAATAATCCAAACTATTTCTGAATGTTTAATACGTGCAAAAAGTTAAGTCTAATTAAATGAGGATGCATAACTTAAAAAAATATTGCAGTAAATAGGAGTGGGGGAAACCTCTGCTTGTGACCACACACTACCCTTTAACAGCAAAACCCTAAGTGACTACTGTACACAAAACAGAAGATTCAAATCCTTATGCAGAATAGTGGAAACAATGAAAACAATATATTATTTGTTATTCATAATTGTTGATGATGTCCTCATAACTCTGTGTGGGTTGTTTACTGGCTGACTCACAGAGGAAGAAAAATTTACCATCACACTCTCAGACGGAAACAATATAACCAGTACAGTATAATTCTTGGGTTATACTGGACTGGATAGCTTATTAGATGTAGACAACAACTATGCACATATTCTCTTAACAAATCTTATATAAATTAATTGTATCAAATGTCCAGGTACTGTACACTAGAATGTTAATTACAATTAAGTAATTTGTAGTTTCAACTGTTTACAGTCTCAACAACTAGTAAATGCTGTACAAGAAGTATTACAAATTACCTTGCATGTATATATTGCTTCAATAATTTGAGAATCGTGGCATTTATTATTAGAATGCTTCAATGAAATCTTTGCAACTGAATATGTGGGGATATGATTGAAACAAATAAGATTAACATGGAATATACTCGGCCTGAGTACACATAAACGAATCAGTAATACAGGAGCTTGTGGTCTACGATACAGTTCAATCATACACCAGACAGACAGAACAACTTCACACTTACGTTAACAGCTTACGTAAACAGGTGAACAGATCTCCAAACTATTGAGCAAGAATTGGTCAGCTCATGATACACTTTCATGTATATTTCTGACTTTGAATGATAGTTGTAAAAGCATAGTTGTTTTCTTTAGTACCAACTGGTATTATAAAAACAAATGAAGACCTTGACAACCAGGCCAGAAGCCTTCATTCTCTAAGGACCTATTTAACTTATGGTGTAACTATTATTAGTAGCATTTCATCTTAGTGGACACTATTTTGTTCTGTATTTCTTTTACCCATAATTAAATCTGTAATTCAGCACTCTTAATAAATTTAACTTCTCTACCTCACTTTAACTAAAATATGAAAATTGTGAAGATTGTCTGAATCATAACATACATTATAAAGTAAATGTACTGATTAAGAATATAATATGAGTTTATTTAACCTTATACTATGAGATACATAGTGTAATTGAAAAATAATTTTGCTTATTAGTAAAAATACACTAACATCAAATTTTGTATCGAATTCAGCTCAGGGATAGATTTGGATACACCATCACCATTCCATCTTATCAAATATGGACTAGTGAGTTGGAGAGATAAATAAAGAGACAAGGTAAAAAAATTTGCCACCAATTAATCTACACGAATTCCACAATTTGGCAGCTCGGGCAAATTATTCTACAAACTTCATAATCTGACAGAGTACTGTACACAAAACACAGTACTGTAGTAATATCTCCATTAGCTGGAATCCCTCAAACCCAGAACTCTCCAGTAGACAGAATTGAAATTTTCTCGGAAAATTATTCCCAAAGCCGAAATTTTCTGGAAAAATCCGGCTTTGGGAAAGATCTTTCGGAGGGGCACATTTTCTGGAAAATTCTGAAAACAAAAATTGTCCCGGTACTCAGAAAATTCAGGAGAAGGGGATTTTTATTCTGGGTTTGAGAGATAATGTAATGCGCAATTTCTGGAACGTCTGAAAATATTTTTCCGTTACCCGGAAAATTCTAGGCCGAGGAGGAGGGATTTTTTTTACCCGGCTTTGAGAGAGTTGTCTCATTACCAGGAAATCTCTCATTCTCAGAAGTGCTCTGCACCAAATTGTTCCGGCTAACAGATATATCACTGTACAGTAAGTCCTCGTACAACATCGCCCTGCTTAACATTTCGGTATAATGTCGCTAATCTTTAGATACCAAAAATTCGTTCAATGTCCCGACGAATCAATATAATGTTGTTTTTGCGTCGCCACGGACTACTTTTTATTGCGCATCATCCTCTCTCGGCGTACTACAGTACCTCTAACTCGCGGAACGTCACAGCGTACCCAAGCAACGCCAAGCCAGTCTCTGTTAGGTGCCAACATCATTCATGTGTGCTTCAGTGTTTTTGCTCTTAATAATGTACTCTATCCATTCGAAATGGCTTCCAAGCACCCGTCAAGTGCTACTGATGCTAGTGTTGTAAAGAAGCAACATAAGACCATTAGCCTTGCTATGAAAATGGAGAAGAAACGCCAGTCAGAGCGGGAGGAGGAAGCACATGCCGAGTCTCAGTGACTCGCCACCCTCCTCTCCCGCCATCCTCCACTCACTCCCTCCATCAGTGTGTGTATATATATATATATATATATATATATATATATCTTGATAAAATCACACGGGAAAATGGAAACAACGGAGTACTCCGTTGTTTCCATTTTCCCGTGTGATTTTATCAAGATTTATCTTATCCACGTTTTCATTGTGGATTTACATGATATATATATATATATCTCCTCCCCGACTTACAACAGGGTTAAGGACCCAAATCCAGGTCGTAAGTCGAAATTGCTTAAATAATACACAAAATCTAAAATTGGTGTCTCTTTTTCTTCTCAGCACCACAAAACTCACTTTTAAGCTTGCCAGCCATTTCAAAGTGAATTACAAACAAAAATGTTGTCGGTACACAGCACAATTACTGACGTTGGGACTCGAAAATACGTAATTTGACAAAATTTCGGTAAGACTGAGGCAGGTTGTAAGTGCGGGTGGCCGTAGGTCGTAAGTCGGGGAGAAGCTGTACTGTATATACATATATATATATATATACTATTTTCTATAAAAATGCCAATGAATTTCTGTATATGTAATGTATTTCACGGGGCAAAGGTAGGCTCTGGAACGTAACTCCCGTATTTTATCTATTTCTTATGCGCAAAATTGATTCGCTTAATGTTGTTTCGTATAACGTCGCATTTTCAGAAACGTAACCTCGACGTTAAGCGAGGACTTACTGTGCAGTACTTGTTAGATGGCAGTCTCCTTAAACTAAATTCTTCTTTACGTTGGTGCATAAAAACTGAAGTAATCATTTCGAGGAGATTACATCGGTAAAATACTCATCTAAAAAATTTACCAAAATAAATTTGATAACTATCTTGCTTTAAACTATGAATGAGCTTA